TGAAGACTTGCTCCGGCCTTTGGATCAGCTGGATGCTCGTCATTTGGAGGGAAGACGGGTTTTAGTTATCGGCGGTATGTGCGACCTATTACATGTCGAGAGATTCAAAAGCAGAGACAGTGCCTCCCTTAACTTTGCCAATGCCAGCGAAAGCTCCAAGATGTCCTTGACTCGCATCTTTGGTTTTGGTGACAGCTGTCGATATATGCACTCCAACATCACACTAGGAGAAAGCAGCTTCACCTACGATCAGAGCAACCACACTGTGAGGTTCCTCCACACTTCCTGTCCAGACTGTCTGGTGATGCGCTTTGACAACGAGTCGCAGAAAACCCTGCGTTTGTACCTGTTCAGCAGGAGGAGAGAGGTGGAGCAGGAGAAGGTGGAGGAGTTCAGAGCTCAGGTGGAGTGTCTGAAGTTGCTTCCACCTGTTATGATGGATCCTACCAAAGAACTTTGTCCAGAGCAGAGCGATCGTCATTCAGCAGCTTCTGAAGACTGATGGGAAACAACAGCCTGAGATACTTTGCCTCATGATCATTGACGATATTGGGTCAATAACGTGTCAATACAACTAAAATATTTCAATGTCCTTTGGTTGTGTTTTTTAATTGAGAAGTATCTTTTCCACACCTCATAATCACATTTTTAAATGTATTTTCAAATATGACAATGAGGCTCGATCTGAGTTGCACAAATCTCCCAGTATTAGATCAGGACAAGGCCTCTATTATCAGCCTTGGTGATTGAATGGTTTGCATATTTATATTTAAAAAAAATCATACACACATCCAGCTGTAGAATTGCACTTTATTTATTCATGAAATTATTGAATGCATTCACAATTCAAATAAAATTGATCCTGGAACTTCATAAATGTTTAGAAACTTGAATATTGTATTGTGTTTGATTCCTGAAGAGGCTGTGTTCTTAGTTAAAAAGAGAATCTATAATGTTAATAATTGTTAGTTGTAGCCCTAATCCCGCTCATAAGGAAATAACACAATACTTATTTATGCTCTCTACTGTATTTCTCTAACACATAGGCAAGAGATTATTGCACATTCAGAGGTTAATGGAGTTATTCCAATGCAAACATTGATATTTCCCCGAAAAAATTGAACGTTCTTTCATTGCACAATAACGGGGATTACAGCTAATGGATAACTACGTTTTTTTGCAAAACTGTAGTCTCTTGCAAGTTGTACTATAAAACCAACTCGACCCTTGATTGTTTTTTAATGAAGAAGAATCTTTCCCACCTCAGTATCACATTTTGAAATATATTTTTGAAATATAAGAATGAACCTCAGTCATTGATCGGAGAAGTTTCACACACCTCCAATGATAAGATTAGAACAATGCCTCTCTTATCAGCCTTTGTGGTTGAATGGTTTGCATATTTATAAAGTCATATTCTAGCTGTAGAAATTGCACTTCATTAATTCATGAGAGTTTTTATTGCATGCAGTTCAAATAAAAACCTGACAGATCCTAACAATGAACTTTGTATGAAACAAAACACAAGTTATCAAGCAGGGACAAAAGGCCTGAGAGACATTTTGTTCAAGAATGTTCTTTTAACTGAAAATCAATACATTTTTCATAACAGGAATGTTGGAGTTTTGCATTTGGGCACTTTTGACCTTATGCAATACTTTCCTTTTGAGCCTCAGGGTCTGGGGGGGTCCGAAAACCAGTCAGTATCTGGTGTGACCACCATTTGCATCACGCAGTGCAACACATCTCCTTCGCATAGAGTTGATCAGGTTGTTGATTGTGGAATGTTGGTCCACTCCTCTTCAATGGCTGTGCGAAATTGCTGGATATTGGCAGGAACTAGAACACGCTGTCGTATACGCCGATCCAGAGCATCCCTAACATGCTCAATGGAAGACATGTTAGGGTTAGGGTTAGGGTTAGGGTTTAACCCTAGGGTTTTCGGACCCCCCCAGACCCCCCAAATAAAGCAAAACTGCACGTTTCAGAGTGGCCTTTTATTGTGGCCAGCCTAAGGCACACCTGTGCAATAATCATGCTGTCTAATCAGCATCTTGATATGCCACACCTGTGAGGTGGGATGGATTATCTCGGCAAAGGAGAAGTGCTCACTATCACAGATTTTTTCAGATTTGTGAACAATATTTGAGAGAAATTGTTATTTTGTGTATGTAGAAAATGTTTTAGATCTTTGAGTTCATCTCATGAAAAATGGGAGCAAAAACAAAAGTGTTGCATTTATATTTTTGTTCAGTGTAACTACGCTTTAGTTTTTTTTATCGGAACAAGGCTTGATATCCTCCACAACAGCTATATAAACACTACAAAACTGATTTTGACAATTTGAGCCAAATCTTAAGGTCTAAAAAAAAAAAGTGTATAATTTGGTGTTAGGGTCTGGGGAGACCCGGCAGAATTGTTTTGGGTGACTGGGTCAAATTTGGCCCAGATTCATTCAATCAAGATTAATCTTTGACTTCTTTGAGTGTTTGGGACTGAGATAAATCATGGGTCAAAATTGACCCGTGAACACCATGAACGGTAACAGCTTTCGAACACAACACAAGGATTAAGAGTAATAACAAATACATGATGATTAAAACATTTTTACTGAAAGTCTGCACAGCTGCTTCAGTTTCAGGTTTCTGGTGTTGTTCATGGTGCTCTGTCACACTGCATCACTCACTGGGACACCTGAACGGAGGCTACTATCAATATTACTTATAAGTAACACATTTGCATTAACTACTATAGATCTGAAAGCATTTCCTGGAAACATACATGTATACAGTGATACCCAAACGTTATAAATAATGCAATAACACTGATATATTTGTACACTTTATCTCTCACATAAGTGGACAAATGTAATGTAAGCCCATAGATCTCTTGCGTCCTTTACATACAGTGCATTGTACAGAATGAATGAATTATTTCCGTTAAGTAAAACAAGAATGGCATATAACACAGGAAACATTATGTGTTTTCTCTGAGTTACTGGAACTAGTCTTTAGAATAATAGTTTTAAAGTTAATGTAGAAAGTGACTACTACATTTACATATTCAAATGTCATATTGTGTGTACTTCTTAAGAGCCAGGGTTGAACACTGGAGGAGTCTTATCTCTTTTTTTCAGTGTCATTCACTACACATCCCTACTAATCAATGTAATTTATAATACGCCAGTGACAAAGACTCTATAAAATAATATATAAATAATAAGGCTTTATCTCAGCTCATCCCATATTTTTTTCTACCAAGGCAAGAACAGAAAATACTTAATTTTGTCCTTGACTCTGTATAACATCAAACAATGTGTTATTTCCGGTAAACACCTAAAGTGAGAGAGAACCAAAAAACAGTACAACTAGTTTTTGAACTTTCTATTGCACAATACAGAAATACACAGTCAGGATCATTCACTTGTACTGTGTTGCAATACTGGACATTCTTGAGCCAAGTTGAACTATAAAAATGGAGAGCCCATCTAAACCAGCTCCATTCTTGGTGAGAGCTAACAACAGAGCCACTGATCGAAAGCAGAGTTCTCTAAATCATCACAGAATCTGTATAATTGCAACATGTTTGCTTTGTTGGCGAGTGTTCTCCTCTGCTTGCTGTCCGGGAGCCAATCAGCTCCTATGGTCTGTGAAAGACTGGTCCATCCTTTGGGTCAGCTGGATCCACATCATTTTGAGGGAGGATGGGCTCTAGTAGCAGGAAGTCTCAACCACGCACCATCCATGGAGGCCCTGAAGCTGAGAGATAGCATCACTATGTTCTTCTCCAACTCAGGTGAAGCTCCCGATTTCTCTTACACGCAAATCAACCGCTTTGGTGATCAATGCCAGTACCTACGCTACAACATCACCGTCGAGGGCAGCGCCTTCACCTTCAATGTGGGGAATCGCTTCAACCTCACCGGGGACTTCCTCTATACTTCCTGTCCAGACTGTGTCGTTATGCGGTGGATTGTGCAGTCAAGTAAGAGGAGATCTATGGACCTGTATCTGCTGAGCAGGAGGAGGGAGGTGGAGCAGAAGGAGTTGGAGGAGTTCAGGCATCAGCTGAACTGTTATGGGCTGCCTACACCTGTTGTGATGGATCCAACTAAGGAGTCCTGTCCAGACCAACCTGAGAGCGAACCGACAGCAGCAACAGAAGCTCAGGTTGAGGAGAAAACTGAGGAACAAAAGGCCTGAGGGACTTCGGCACATTTGTTCATGATATTCTGTCACGCAGTATAGGAATTAAGTATGACTGAATTGCTTGGTGCTTTGTTAAGATTGAATATTTCCACATATATTTATTTTGATATTAGGGCTTATAGATCAATAAAATAAGTACATATTTATTTGGCATGGAGATATTTCACCCAAAATCAATTTCTTGAATGCAACGCATGACATGATGAATCTCACTTTCTATTCATACCTGTGTTTTCATTTAGCAAATGTAGTGCAGCAGACAGAACAATCTGTTTTCTTTCTTTAAATATGTGGACATCTCAGTATTTTTCTCAAAATGTTCTGTCATGATTACAAAATAATAAAAAACATGTTCAAAAACTAATGCTGAATACTTGTACAATCTGTTAATAAGTAAATAAATATACAGTAAATGAACATATCAGTGTGCTGTGAAATACATCTTAAACTAAACTCTTTATGTTATTCATTTGGAAATCTAAAGTAACGAAACTATAGAATAAATTACAGTTTCCCCCCGGGATATAAGAGGACAATATTACATGCTGGAATTATATAATCACTTCTTCCTCACTCACTTGCATGCTGCAATAATTACTGTGATACTTGCTAATTGTATTAGTACTATACATTTTTAAAATCCACAACAATAGGGTAAGCCTCTAGCCTCTGTGTTAGTGCATGCACGTGCCCATTCAGTGCTAGTGGATGTTTGCTGCGTGAGCATTGTATGCAAATGTGGGCGTGCACGATTGGTGTACTGAAGGTGTTACTGTGGGCAGGGGAGGAGAGACAGGCAGCAGGGCGGTGGAGCTGTTAGCAATAACATTCATTCTGTGGTGATTAAACAACAGTGACCTGAAACAAGACAACTGGGCTTACTCAGAAATGAGTGTCTGTCATTTGGAGGGCATCTTCAAAGCATTTTGTTACCAGGTATGTGCAAGTGTATATTATAGTTTTCTTTATTTTAATTGTTTGGTTCAACTTGAAGTTACTGAACACCTGCTTCAATTATATGCCAATCAGGGGATAAATTACCTTTGAAAACAACTTTCTAATTCTAAGAGCCAAGCCTGCAGAGACTGGATTTTCCTGCTGTTTCTTTTTGCCACAGTTACTAATGCATATTTAAGTCAGAGACTTGAGCATATCACTATGTCAGCAACCATTAGACAGCAGAATATTTTTAATTAGCGAGGAAGTTGGCTGCATCTATGAAAATCATTTGCATTTTTGTCAGATGCCCTCATATGTTAAACTTCGTTAGGACACTGCTGACCACAGAAAGTAGAGCACGTTTATTTGTAAGGCCATCACAGATGTATTTTTAATGATGATCATGATTTAATTGTTCTTTTCATAAAGTGAGCTCCTTTGCAGATAATGAGCAAAACATAAGTCTGTTGCATAATGGAGTTTTAATCCAAGAACTTCAGTAACCTCTCTTACCCAAAAAGACAGTTGGAGAACATTAGGTTATATTCTGCCAGTTTTCTCCGAGCGTTTTGGAACACAAAACAGAACAGCATGTCATATTAGAAATAATGCCCTGAGTTTATTGAATCTAATCTACAAACTGCAAGGCAAATATCTCATTAGGGCTTGCCAGAGTTTACAACAAGAGTATCAAATTGGATTACCATACCTTAATATCAATGAGGGGATTGTAGTATTGCAGGATGATCATATTAAACATTTAAGCTTGCTTGTTTTTAGCAGGATTTTCATCTGAATCAGCAGGGGTTTGTGAATAAAACAGTTTAAGCAGAGATTTGCAATAGATTTCAGTGTTCGATGGCCCTCTCCCTGTGACAGAACACTAGTTTTGCCTCACCATTTCATGAAACTTCACCTTCAACTCTCATTCAATGAGTAACATATTATGCATCTTTAATGAATTGCATGACCGGTGTTAACATGTGGTATAGCCTATCTTATTTTACCCAAGTTACTGAATATAACAAAGTCTTCTCCTGTTATTTTCTGCCGATCACAAAACACAGTCAATGATTGAGTCTCAGACACAGTGATGACTTTGTGGGAATGCCAACTCTCCCCTCCCACTCACATCCCTTGAAAAAACAGCCAGTGTGACAGGAGCCAGACACATTTCATAATGGGTACTGATTTAAAACAATGACCAATTCTGAATCTATTATAAGTTGTTTATTCCTCCTGTAGACTATAGGACATTAAACAAAAACACATTTACAATAGCAAATATAAGAAAACAGCCCAGTAAAAGTTATGTGAATCTGGTGAGTGGTTCCCCCATCCAACCATTGTTTGGTTGTAAACAGTGTCTGTCATGACTCACTGCCCTCATCCTAATTTACCCACATTAGGCCCCACTTGTTCTGGTTCTTGTTGTGCTTTGGTGCCTACATGCTCTGCCATCATTGTAATAGTGTTCCACATTTGTCTAACCATGTCAAGTTCAGTCCTTGTTTTCTGTACATGAAGGGTGAGCTGTGCCGCAAGTCTCTATCTAACTATGCATCTGTTGTATCAGTCCCAATGCCTCATCAGAGACGTGTGTGTGTGTGTGTGTGTGTGTGTGTGTGTGTGTGTGTGTGTGTGTGTGTGTGTGTGTGTGTGTGTGTGTGTGTGTGTGTGTGTGTGTGTGTGTGTGTGTGTGTGATTAAAGAAAGGTGTGTTCAGCAGAAAACGTTATACGATGCACAGTGGAGTAACTTCCTAAAAGAGAAACAGTTATTAAGAGTCTGCTTGTCGACAACAGAGCTCTGATATTAAAATATAGGACACCATGGTACTACACATCAACTAATTGCTCTTATCCTGCACTAACTGTTATGCAGTATGATTTACACACAAACGGATGAAAAATTAAAAGAAAAAACAAAATAAAGGGTCCTAGTTAGGTTACCACAAAGATAAAATGAAAAGCAATTTTTGAAATTATTCTTTGTTTATTTCGTATATTCAACATTTATTTTTAAACGTGAGGTTCGTTGTCCTAGCTGCAGTGTTGTAACACAGGATGAAGGCGGATTAAAAGCTCTTGGCATTTCATTTCTTTTCCACAGTAAATGTCACAGTAAATACAGTGCGATGATTCATTCACTTGGTAAATTCAGCAATTTATTTAATCTGTGATGAAATAATGCGTTATAAAATAGTGTTGGTTGGTAATCTTGGATAATCACTATGTTATTCCCCCTTTTCCTCTGTGTGTTTCTCTGCTTTCCCGCAGTGGCTGGCTGGAGGCCGAACATTCGGATTGCTCAAAACGGTTTTACATCAGCAGACTTGTCACCATGGCAACAAAGCCATTGGCCTGGCAGGATCAGGGTCCTCTCAACACACTAGAGGAGGGGGTCAATGAGTTCTGGGCGCAAGGTGTAGCAGGTGCAACCAAAAGCCATGACTCCCCACTGCAAGATAAAGAGGCTCACAGGGCAGAACCTGAAGAGGACATAAACGCCCCGGAGCCTGGAGCTCGATGCTCGCCTAACGACACAGCTGATGCAACTGAATCAGAAAACCAGGAATTAACAAGAATGTGTGTGTGCACCCCCAGGGAGACACAAGAGATGGTGACAGAATTAGAACAAGCTGCCCAACTTTCAGAAGCATTACAGGATCAAGAGGAAGCGGAGAAGTCTACTGATCCATGTGAGGATGCTTTCCCGCCTCCTCCAGCCTTTATCAGTGCTCCATCAACAGAGGACTGCTTTGAAAAAGAGAGCTTTTCTAGCCTAGAGGGGGAGGTGGCTGCGTGGATCAGTGATGCTGAGATCATATCAGACCAAATAGAAAACCCTCCGTCTCCTGATAGACAGATTAGTCCAGAAGGGCCTCCTCTTCTGCCTGAGCCGGTAAATAGAGAAACAGAGTCATCACCTGAGGAAAATGGCTCACAGCTGAACGTCTTACAGGATAGTTTCAACAGTGAACCAGATAATATGCCAAGGGTTCCCGCCGCCGCAATAAATTCAATTGTTCATCAGTCTTTCGAAGCCTCATATTCTGCCTTTGAACAAGACCCAACCTCCTCTACAGTTCCCTCTGTCGAACATCAGGAGGAGCTGTTGTCCCAGAGTCCAAGTGAACCTCCTTCCCCCAGGGGAGAAAACCAGGAAGCGGCACAACAGGTGCACGGCCAGAGCTCCTCACCTTTGTCAACTGTTGCCATGGAGCTGTGTAAATGGGGCGGAGCAGCTTCTCAAGGCCCCGGTTGTTTGGTAGCTGTGAGAGAAAGGCACAGAGGGGCGGGGGAAAGCACAGAGGGAGAGAGCAAGCAAACAGGTGGAGAGGGAGGGCAGAGAGAAAGAGGACTTGAAAGGAACAGGTTGCTTGAGCAGCAACACGGCGGAGGACTGTTAACAAAAACACACCGAGCAGAAGAGGTTAAGCCAGGAAAACACAGCTTTGTGTATTCTAAACACACCAGGATGGAGAGTGACTCATATGATGACAGCCAGAGTGACAGTGGGGTTTCAGCTGACTTCTCCCCATGCAGCACTTTGGAGGGCAACACCACCATCTCTCCAGCAGCGGCACCGAAAGAGACTCCCATTGAGAGGGAGATCCGACGGGCTATAGAGCGTGAACACAGCCTGAGAAGGTCCAGAGGGTTACCCAATCCACCTACAGCACCAGAGTATGTAGAGATCCCTCTGAGGAAAACTGTTCTCTGCCAGTCCATCACTCTAAACTCTGAGAGGTGTCAAGGCAAAGACAGGCAGTTTGCAGGCAAGAAGATGCAGCAAGAGATCCATGAGGAGACCCAGAGGGAGCAGGATCTGGTGAAGCTTGGAACAGTTCCAGGTTTCTATGACAAAGGCACGGTACGCCAGCTCAAAGACAGAAAACAACTTTTTGAGGCCTTTCAGAAGCCGGATGACTCAACTCTAAGTCTGTCAGCCAGGAGTCAGGCCATGTCCTGGTCCTCTGTCAGTGACATTTCAACCCTGGAGGACCAGGAGGACAACTCATCACAGGCGTCCACCATAAGAGGCTCACATGTGGAGAGGATTCACACACAAAGTCAAAACCTAGCAAAAGGGGGGGGCACTCCGCGAGGAGCGGGCTATTCTGAGGGGAAAGGCTGTCAGGTTATTATCCTGGAGAACAATCTGAGTGTCCCAGCGCTGAAGCTCTACCACGCCAAGCCAGAGGCACAGCCCGTCACTGTCGTAGACTCTGGAAGATCTAACTTCACATCATCCAGAACAGGAGGCCATGATGGGATTAAAGTGAGAGAACACAAAAAGGAGGAGGTAGAAGACGAGGGGGCACCCAAGGAGAACCCCTTTTTCAAGCTGCGCTCCTCAACAAATTTGGTTAAAGTAGAGAAGGATATCCGGGAGGCTCAGGAGAGGGAGAAGGAGCTTCACAAGCAGAGGATCAGCCTGTATGGTGGCACAGAGGGCCCAAAGGGAGCGGGGGGAGGTGGGGGGCCAGTCATCGCAGAAGGAAAGACTCCCACGTTATCTTCTTCTTCACTGAACGGACTGGCTGTTCCTGAATTACCCGTCTCATCATCCAGACGGGGAACGAGACCCACGGCAGGTTAGTGTGGTGTGTGTATGGGATGATTGATTCTGCCCATAAGCCCACTCAAACAATATGTGTGTAGGTATGTGTGGGTATGAGGGTATTTTCTTTTATATCTGTGCTGAGGTGATGAAAACCCCCTGAACTAGCTCCGCAAGCACGTTATTTCATTTTTCTCATGGTCAGTGGAAAACCTCAAAACAGCTTTCCAAATCATTGTTAGCCGTTATGAGCAATAATTTTGCACTGGAGACCATAAGCTGCCGGACAAGAAAATACGATTCTGTTACTCCACAATAAAGCATCTAGTCTGTCAAATTAATTGCGAAAGCTGCGGTGAAGAAAAGTCCTGAGTCATATCTCGACACTTTATTGTGTCAGCTAGAGAGGAGCACTTTGAAAAAGTCCAATTTCAGGATAAAAAGTGCATAGAACTTGCTTTTTCTTAGTTATTATGGTTATATAGAGTCAGTGTAGGGACAACAAAAGCACATTTGAAATAAAGTGCTGCCAATTCAGCGTGCTGAGAAGACAAGTTTCCACTTGCAATTTCAACTTTGCTGCCATTGTTTGTATGTGTTACAGTGATTCCCTAACAGGGTTACTTGTACCGAAAGGGGATACTTCTGCTGTATGTATTCATATATATGTATATATTATTAGATTAAACAAATAAGGCAACATAGTCACGTGTAACACCAGAACCAGTAAGTAGAGAGGTCAAATGGTAAATGGTTGAAAGTAATGAATGAATAGCTTCTGCTCTAAGTGTACTAGAATGCTAACTTGAGCAAGCTGTATTAATCATTTAATAACAATATGAGCTTTTGTATAATTATATATAATAGTGTTAAACAACGCCCAGTTTTAAGTTAAGCCAAATAACTCATTTGGAACATGATGGTTGTTTCACGGGGCTGTGAGAAACTTCAGACAACAGACTGCTGGACAGTATGTTTGTGTTTTGTTGGCAGGGATGGTTGCCATTCGTGTTTTCTTTTAGGCTGCATTTGAATGAAAGTGTGGCCCGTCATCGTTGGTGCAACAACTGCGTGACAAACCCATCAGGGTGTGCTACAGGCCCTGAATGACCATGACTCAGTGTTGGGAGATGAACAATCATGAATTGTTATATAGACAATTCATTATTTTCATATTCTTTCATGACCTTCAAACAAAGGTCTTTCTCTAAATTCCCTTTGTGTTCCTCTCCTTTCATTTCACCGTGCTGCCACACCACGTTTACTCTTAATTTGATTCAAAGAGGTTTTATTGTTTAGCACAGACAGGAACACTTTTGCCTCTTTGGTGCCTTGCTTTTGCTGCCCTCACCCACTTAATATTCTTTCTCTCTCTTGCAGCACGCCAGTCAGTTGGCAGGTTAGGCATGTGGCCCCCGCCCCAGTCTGAAGAGGAGAAGATTAACCGGCCAGAGGTGAGTCACCTTAGCCGCTCATTTCTATTGCAATAAAGTTTAAAAATTAACATTGCCTTAATACTACTGCTTGCTTGGTATGACATGATTGGACCATGTAGAAATAATACCAGGCCTCATTAGGTATTATTTTCTATATACAGTACATTCGAAATGCCAACCCTACCTATCCGGTACTGGACATGCAAACGTAGGCAAAACATCTTCCTAGGTCTTCCTCGAATGCAGTTAAAAGGATATCGCGTTCCTTCTTCTTTAACTGAGAGTTCATGAGTTGCAGTTGCTTTGGGTGCTTCAGGGAGTTGCTGAGGATATGAACGTATGCTTAAAACTGAACTGGATTGTAAAAGGTTTAATGAAGAAAGGCGTTTGGGAAGACGTCAGCAGCAAATATGGGCCACAAACATCTGATAACATACTGAACACACAGTAAGGAGGAGCTTATCTTTATAGATAAGGGAAGAAGGCAAACACCCTTGGGACAGACAGGGAGCGAGAGAAGGAGTGTGTGTGTGTGTGTGTGTGTGTGTGTGTGTGTGTGTGTGTGTGTGTGTGTGTGTGTGTGTGTGTGTGTGTGTGTGTGTGTGTGTGTGTGTGTGTGTGCGCAGTCAATACCGGAGAAAGTAGAAAGTAAATTGACAATCCCACTGATTTTCGGTACCTGCCTTGTGGGTCTTGCATCTCTTTGAAACTGTGCTATCTCTGATTAGAGTCGAGTGCTTCTCCTTCAATTCAGTTTGGCATTGATATGCTGGTTTTAGCTGCACACTTAGTTTGACGGTGACATTAGCAACGTTTTGCTCTGTTTCCTCTCTCCCCCTCATGCCTCTCTCTTCTCCTCTCTCTCTGCTGGTTGGTTATCTGCTCTCTGCACAGACCTGGTTTCTGATTAAAGTTCAGGAATAAGCGGGGGATTGCAGGGGAAATGGCCTCAGTTGTTGACTGACTCTTAGCAAACACGGCCTTGGATCACAGTTGCATTAACCTCCCTCTGACATGCAGAGCTAATGATGCTCATCCAAAGAGATGTCCTCTAGAGGAAATATACTCACCCATTTCTTTTTATCTTTTTTGCTCCATTTCCCCTGTGTTGGCTCCTTTCTCCTGCTACAACACATCTGATGTTTCTACTCTTTAATTCTTTCTCTTCTCCCTCTTTTATATGCAGCATTTTATCTCCTTAACTTTGCATTCACTAATAACTCCTGCTTTCACATCTTTTTACCCAGGTCCTCCAGGGTTCCCTGACCCCCAGACAGAAGACTTCTCTGGTGCAGCGCTGGGAGTCCGGTCTAGTCAACGGACACAACACAGAGGACGACTGAGGAGACGTTTCTAGAGTGATCTGAAAGAGTGAGGTTACATGAAAACTTGTAGTTTTTTAAGTGGAGGGCTGAAGGAGATAAAAAGGAAAGCAGGGAGGAAAATTGGAGCAGTGATGAAGGGGAGGAAAGACAGAATGTGAATCCAAAAGAGGTCAGGGATTGAGGCTACAAAGGGGGTCAGGAGGATCGGGACCAAGGTAAAGGATTGCTTGTGGATTAAAAACCCTGAAGAGTCCTCCATCAAGAAGGAGATAAAAAGAAGGAGGAGGGCCGCCTATTAGTGGATAAGCAATTGGCCTGTTTCCTGTGCTGGAAAACTCTAAGACTAATGAATGTTTAAAGGCAGAAAATAATAATGACTTTGCACCAGGGGAAAGAAAAATGTAAGTTTAGTAAGAATTAAGTTCTTTATCATTGGAACCTTTTTGTAATAATAAGGAGTTGTGATGTATTGATGAAAATAGATTAAGTGGGGCTGTTTGTAGCTAGAAAAGCAATGTGTCATCCCCAGTTGTATGCCTTCAATTATTTTTATCCTGAGTTATATTACACCTCAATTATCAAATAGAATCCCATTTAAAAGCCATGCAATAAATCCTGTAGCTCAATGTGTTTAGTTTATAATGAGGTTGTGTCAGAGGTCATTCATTATAGAGTTTATATACCTAGCAAAAAGTCTAACACAAAAATATACTGTTTCACTAAGAGAAAGAATTTCATCATTATGGTTTTAAGCACTTTGTTGAGGTTTTCCTTTTATGGTTACTCAGCGCATAGAAAACTGATCTGAATTGTTTAACCTTTGGTAAACCTTGAATGACTACTTATGTTCTTATGTTTCTTGCATCACTAAGAGCTAGATTATAGTGAAATTAAGCACCTTTCTGTAACAATGCAATGCTGATCTGGATTTGAGAGCTAAAGGATTTTAATACACATCTAATGCTTAAGAAATAGTTGCTCTGTTGTTTTTTCAAATGATGCAGGAAAAAAGTATTTTGGAATGAAACTTGATTCACACAATAACGAGTGTCTCTTTTATTTTCCTTCACTATTTTTGTATCGGACTGAGGCATACATGATGTAAAAGTAGTACTTTTAAGGATAGTTTTCTAAATCATGCACCAAACCAGCCTAACACTAAACTATTCAAGGCAGTCTGAATTCCACAATGGATCCAGCGCGGTGCAGTTCTGTCAGGGCACAGACACTTTGAGATGGCCACAACATAACCGCCACTGATCCTCTGAACATCCAAATGCTCTATGTTTTTGATTTTGGGTCCCTTTACACATTCCATGGTCAAAGAGAAAATGTGTCGCCATGGATACAGCTTTGAAGAAGATGGAGGCTTTGCTAAAATGACGCAGCATACAGTACATGCCACAGTGGACCTTTGTGTGTGTGAGATCAGCAGACCACGCTTTACTGACCTCCCAATCTCCTGTGAATAATTCATCACCTCATTCTGACTGGACGCAGCCCGGTGAGATTGCCAGTACATATTATTACGGTGGAGCTGCAGCAATTTAAGCGCTCAAAATTATTAATAAGCTTCATTCCTCACTAGGCAACTTCCCTCACATCACCACACTTCCAGGTCTAATGGCACATTACCAAAAGTCTTGGTAGGAGAGTAAGTGATTTAGGAGCCTGACAACATGTGGAAATGAAGAATAGCAAACAAACCACACTCCATGGTAGAATAAAAGCTTGTCACTGAAGGGAAGAGTCATACCAAACAGTGTAATTACTTGGAGTAATGTCAGATTCTAAGATGAAAGATTCATTTTTATGCAAGGACAATCAAATATGGCAACCTATCCAGGTGGGTCAAACTTCACATTCCACCGTATCTCTCTGATATCCATCTAATCTGATCTGGCTGCTTTTCAGATGTGGTTACCAAGAAACGAAACCCACACACCTGTCTATTGCCTGCTCATATCAATACTCATTTCCTCAATATTTCATAATCACCACCTTCCAAAGTCCTACTGGCAGGAAGTCATTGAAGCAGCATTGTGTTGGTGTCTTAAGGATTAGCCGCTGCTCTTGTAATGCCTCTTTGTCTAGGGGACAAAAGTATAAGAGGGAGTGCACGGTATGAGAGTGTGTGTGCGTGCGCGTGCGTGTGTGTGTGTGCACTGTCATCAGACAACAAAAGAAAGTCAGCGATTGTTATTTTGATGTCCTCACATATGGGCATTTTGCGTTTTATAATGCTTCATGTGGGTGTGACTCTTTGATGCTGTGAGAGAAGGGTAAATCAAATGGCAGAGCTGAGTCACAGACATTAAAAAGTAAATATCATGCAATGTGTGTTTAACTGTATGGAGAGGAGGAGAGGACCTATTTATTGTAACAGTCGTTCACTGCCGACGTACATTTCCATTACGTGTATGTGTCTTTAAAAACAAATGTTTCCTTAAAACAAGTAGAAAGAATGTGTTTCTCTCAAATGAGTTCTCACATTAATAAACACAATTACACATTAGGAGAAAAAAATTGGCAGTTATTAATTTGTTTGCATTATTGTGCTTGGTAAGTGAAGAGTGTTGAAGGGGGAAAGATAGTTGTGATCAAGTTTCACGCTTTGTTAAACATACAACACTCAATATATTTTGCTCTTGAAATAAGATTATCTTCTACAAGGCTGTCTGCTTAATAGTATCGAATGTTCCTGAAAATCCAATGAAGAAAGCTTTCAAATCGAAAGCAGTCAAGGCCTTGAGCTACTGTGTCAGAGGAGTGCAGGAAAATGGACAAAGAAACAGACTTTATAGTACTTGTCCAAATCTATGACGATAATCACATGAGAAGGTTGTGCCACTTTAATCAATACATTAGAAAGTGTATTACAACAGATCAAAATCAATTATAAACCCAAACCTGTTGACAATCTTCCAACAATTTTCAGATTTCGGCACACGCGTTCATGTTCAGTTTCTGCATACACACTATGCTACTACATTGGAGACACACCATGGGGTGGCATCAAAGAGCAATTACCATGACTTTCAGGGTTTCCAGTGTCATCTGATATAAACCTGACTCGTGGCTCAGTGTGTCACATTATGCACACAGGGTGAGGCTGTCACAAGCCAGTGAACTGTGGGTACAAATGAAGGTGCCACTTGAATTCATCACATCAAGCCTATCGTTATTCTGCCTCTTATACAAACAAATCAGCCGAACGTCATTATCTAAAGCTGAATATCTTCACTGTGTGAGCATCAGCTCACATGTGAATGCACACAGGAAGAGTGACTCAGACATTACATGTTAGACGTTTTATCCTAAGTGACTTACATACTCAATACTGTGGGCGATCCCCGCAGGAGCAATTTGGGATGAAGTGTCTTTCCCAGGGACACAACGACATGCTGACTGCAGTGGGGTTTGAACCTGTGACCCCCTAATCCGAACACCAGCGCACTAATCCACTTCGCCACACGCCTCCCCCATGGCAAACGAAGTTGACTTTAACATTTATGAAATGATTTACATTCTCAACTTTCATCTTTTTCATCTTGTCTGTGTCTATAAAAGAGAAATGAATACATACATTCCCCCGTGCATTACTGCGACTGTGCTGTGAAAGGCCAGTGATATGTAATAAAACTGAGTACTAACACAGAGTCTGCTTTTTGCTTCTTTCTGAAGTACAATGACAGCCCTTCTCTTCAGAATTATTATCCGCCATAAAACCATACAAGCAGGTGAGAGGCGTCTCTCCCTCCTGAGTCCTTTTACTGTTTTAGTTTCACATTCACTTAGAATGTACCAATACACTGTAGATATAAAGACAGCCATAATGTCCTTAAGGTTCATGTTTGTCCCCTCACAATGTAGTAAAGAGTAAAGCTCAGCACAAATCTCCGCTTGTTGCATTGTGTAGATATTCCCATATGTCAAAGTCACATTGTTCCACTCAACCTTGGACCTTTTCTCATTAGAAGGAGAACAACCTGATGAATGACATTCCTCGTGTTTTGCCTTTTGTGTTTTTTTGTTTTACTTTCAATTATATCTAAATGGTGCCCTCTGCAGAATACTTAGCACAACTACAGCTGGACAATTTGGGAAAGAGTTGTTGGTTCTCTTTTTCTTCACAATCTTAACACACTGTGTCGCATGAGTATGCAAGCATATATTACATTTTTCTTACCAACATGCATACAGTCTAAGGTCCTGATGCCGGAACTAGATTGTAGGGATGTCCCGTTATCAGATTTTAACAAGACTATTATCAATTCAATGTGTTTAAAGAGGCGGGTAATTGACTGCATACAATGTTTTCATTTTTACATATTAGATATCAGAGCTATAGTCATTTGCAAAACTGTAAATACAACTCCATGATGAATGATAATGGTAACGATCCATTTAGAAGCTGTTACTAAAGCAGCTTGTGGTAGGATTGTTTTCACATCTGTTTTTTCGAGGTCAAGGATACACTTTGAAGGTAACCTTAAGGTAAGTTATCCACCACATGGAACACATGTCATATAAAAAATAATAATCACATCTTTATTTAGATTCACTGGCTCAGTAACATGTAAGATCAAACAAACATCATATCCTGTAAAATTGTACATTTAACTGCTGAACATGAAATAGGAAGTGGGGAAATAGCCCTTCCTGTCCTGCTGTGTTACTCCAGCTGACGCTACATTGATAAACTCAAAAAAGTATAAACAGACAGAGAGAAAGAGAGGGACGGAGAGGGAGCGAAAGAAAACACCAAATGTTCTAATGGTAGGGGTGGGTCGGGGTTGTGAATGTGGAGAGCGAGGTCCATAAAGGGGATCTGGAGGCCGTCTCTGTGGGTGAGTCCTCACTGGCCCATTCCTGCACACAAAACACAAACACACAAGCTGTTAAAGATTCCAGCAGTCGTTTATTGTGGTACCGTTTATACCCCGGTTTGTACTTTCAAACAAGTTTCCCTGTGTCGCTTAAACAACTACACATTATTTTGTTTATTTCATAACCTATTATCACTTTATGGCCCTCAATTGAATCGAATTACCTAAGACTTCTTCTGTAGCAAACCTCCACAAATCCAGTTATACACTTATCCATCTTTGTTAACTTACATTAGTTAACCCTTAGATGCACGAGTGACTGGACCCTACACTCTTCCATAAGTGGGTCAAAAAGGACCCGTATTAGAATAATATATACCATTTTTGTCATTTTGGTTAAGAAAAATCACTTATATAATATTTAGTATTATATTTTGGTTCACACTAGAAATATGTGTTCACTATTTATAATTTTAGACATTTTTTTACATTTTCAAAAAAAAACTTTTTCCCATAGGATCCCATAGAAAAATGCATGCGGGTCATTTTTGGCCCACTTATGGAAGCTTGGGGTAGTAATACAAAAACTACAATTTCTTAAAATTAAAATAAAACATTTGAATGGCATGATATCCAAAACATGTTTTTTGAGGAATAGCTGGAATATGAAATGACAAAAATATGTAATTACAAAGATACTTCAAGAAAACCACCTCACCGGGTCAAGAAAGACCCACTTATGCATCTAAGGGTTAAAAAAGTTGTGACACTCAAAGTGCAGTCAAATCTGTGATAGGAGAGGGGCAAGAAAACAATATATAACTGATAAAAAGATCATAAAAAAAATAGCTGTGATCTTGATGAAATGACTGCTTTTTAAGTAAAAGGTAAGACGAGGCCATGCCAGATCAGTGCTTAGACTGACAAAACTGATATTTAATATTCAGATCCTGCAATGGCTGCTTAATGACAGCAGGTTAGTGTTTCCATCAGCTGGTAATGACAGCGTTTTTTCCTGATGGCTGTTTAGTAACACAGAAAGAAAGATAGAGCCTAGTTAGAGCTCTTAGTCTAATGACAGTCCTTCATCAAACTAATTAATACATGTGATTACAACTAATGAGAAGGAGACATTAATGAGGAATGTGTGTGGGTTGACAGTATGCTTGATGATTGGCAGTGTGTGGGTGTGCGAATATGTGTGTTTCTGTGTGTTTGTTTACAGCGAAGGGATCAGTGAAGTTTACAGTTGTTTGGGAAAGTGAATCTACAGGAGAAACAAACTGTAGACGCTGCAGAAATGCCAGAAATACCTAAAGAAAGAGGGGGACTGACGTCAGAAAACTGCACATGATCTGCCTCATTTTTGTGTCCAAATGAATACTATTTCTATTGTAAAGCTAAGAATGCTTTATAAATACAGTACGTCTTGTCACATTCTATCATGGAGTTGTTGTTTTCCTTTTACTTTACTTTTTTAATCCTAGAAAAGACCAAAACCCTCAATGAATTAGTCAAGTACTGTATATCCAAACACTGTCCTGCTGCTGTACATGCTCAGTATACACAACATGTGTATTAATCCACTGCGAGTAAAATAAAAAAAAGAAGAAATGTACTATTTACTTCTATTTGAGTACTGTTCGCCACAAATGTCCTTGTCCAGATGTTTGAGATTCTGTAATAAGAACCTTTGGGGCTACTGAGAGGTGGACTAACATAGTGTGTTTTGGGCCTTTACTGTCTTTCTGCTGGCCTATGATTAAAGCGTACTCTTTAACTCAATGCATTGTTATCGAAAGTACAAAGGTAAAGTAAACTGTTGCTTAATCGTAGTTGATAAATTACACAATCATTTGTATTATCAACTGTAGATAAAGGTATTATAAAGAATTACCTGAGTGATACTTGTACGCCTGAGTGTAAGGTCTGTAAAGCAAAAGAAAAAATACAAGCACAATGTCAAGCAGTGGTTTGTATCAGTATGTATCTTTACTTTCATGAAATCAATGTCAGAACCTAAATAAAATGGCTTAAAATGCAAGAAACTGAATGGCCAGACATTAACCAAGTTAGAAATATGATCATAAACTCACCCACAACATGGTCCTTTGCATGAACTTGAGTCCAGAAGTGTGCTTCCTCTCTGAAACAGTTCAACACAGCAACATTTCATACCACAAAACCAATCGTGTAACATAATAATGCATTTTATATACCGTGTTTATGAAAATAAATGTGATTGGAGCTGTGTAGAGGCAACCCTATAATGTGAAATGGGTTTTTACATTGTGTAACAGGATTAATAAAGTGAAACTACTTTTGTTTGCTGAGAATTATACATTATTAACTATAACACAAGTTCAAGCTAATTCTGGGAATTTTTGATAGTGGGTGTTTTATTGATAGTTTTGTTTAAACAGTTTCTTAAGGTGCAAACCTGAGGACAATATTTTCAGTTGCAGTTGGGACAAACTGAGTGATCATTTACTGGTCTTTAAGACAAATGTAAATTAGAATACCTTCTCTTCTTTTCCTCAGCTGCTGCCTTGACTTTAAAAAAAAGAAGAAGAAAAGGCAATATTAATTTTCACGAGGAAGACATCTTGACTGTGTGTATGCATCATGTGAGGAAGCAGAAATGTATGTGTGACATACTTTTCCTGCGTGCCACCACAACCACGAGTATCACTGAGCAGAGGAACAACACCACAACGGAGAAAGACCCCAGTACAAGAGGCCAGTCCACAGCGGAAAAATCTGGACACAGCACACCGGCATTATTGTGAGTCATGGAGTAGAATGATAAGTCTAAATCCCTTTTTTTGTCATATGTCCCACTAGATAGGATTATGTATGAATTATAAGCATGTTGTAGGGTTGGTAGGTCTACCTGTTGATGATGGAGGAGGAATTCCTAAAAGATTGGATAAAGAAAACAAGAAGTCTTAAACTCTTTTAAAACCTCAACATTAACTTTTGGTCAATTAAAACGACGCATAGAGTACAACAGCTCATCTGTACCTCTGGTTACAGCTAAAGGGAGGCTGCGTGGAGAGTTGCTCCATTTCCCCGCCAGGAGGACATTGTACTGGCACTGGTAGAAAGCCACCGGAGTTTCCTGTACCGGCACTGGGAAGGTGACCTGATGGTGGATCAAGGTAACTTCGTGAGTGTCAACAAGAATTTCATTATCAGCCACGTAGAGGGAGAACGCAGCACCGGGGTACGCAGCAGAGCCTGTGCAGAGCAAATGCCACACAGCCGTCTGCTGCTCGAGGACGAGAGTGGGAACAGGCAACGCATCTGAAACCAGACCAAATCAGGAGAAACATTAGTGAAAGCTCCTGCCTTGTATATTGTGTATACAATCAAGATTCAAAGCTTTTATTGTCATTGTACACAGTGTAGTTATGTCAATTAAAAGCTTAGGTCACAGGCTCCTCCAACAGTGCAACACAATAAAACAGATCCAATAGTGCAAGTAAATACAAATAAAATAGAATAGAAATAGTGCAAGAATAGTCTATACAAGTATATAGTATCAGCTGCTTTATAGAGAAATAGTGAAAGAAGGATGTCAATGTGGTAACAATAACAATGCCTCCTATGTTGGATATCCTCACCTGTAATAGAGATTAGAACCATGTTGCTGACAGTAGAATTAACCAATCCACTTCTTAAATTGACCTGGTAAAGGCAGGTGTACTCCCCCTCCTCTCCACCCGTCACCGGCCCCACAGTGAAGACTCCTGGCTGGGGGTCATGGTTTGATACCAGACTGGCTTGAGGCTGGAGGATTACAGATGTGGCCCCCGGTTGCTTAGCGGCCCTCAGCAGAAGGAAGGTCATGGGTCGGTTGCCAAGGTTAGACCGGGACTGAGACTGAGGCGGGACAGGGACAGAGCAGCTGAAGGACAGAGTGTCCCCACGCTTCACCTGACCAGTGGAGGGGCTCACAGACAACACTGGAGAGGGTGTATCTGGAAAAGTACAGAAAGATAATCAATAAGTCCTATGTGTTTGTTACCTCATTACTTTTAAATATGTTACACAAAATTAATTTAAACATATGGCAACGCTAACATCCTTGGTTTGCCGCAGTTGCTAGCCAAACTTCCCTTTGTCACCATCAACTGATGAAGCCACACATTGTGTTTGATGTCCGTGTGTGTGTGTACAGTATGTGTGGGTGGGTGTGTGGTTTCTATATGAAGTGCAGGATGTAACTACCATTACACACACCCACAGAGCTGAGGACAATAAGAGACCACAGAGAGCACCTGCATGCAGCACTCTGTTCTCGAGGTTGTAGAGCAGCGGATGGGAGGGTTTATTATTTTATACCACATGTACAATCACTACTGGGTGCAAACTGTAAAAGATTGACTCAACAAACTCTGTTGCTCCACATCACACCACATCCACTTCCTACCTTTTCCTTTATAGTAAGATAAGATAAGATAAATGTATTGTAACTGTAACTGTAAAGTGCAATCAAATGTAATTTGGAGCAAGCCTGTTGATGTTAAGGCACAAACATATCTAGTGTTATAAATGTATAAACACAGAATAAAATAATAAAGTGTCCAGTGCTGCAAGCAGACTGTCAGCAGTACTACCAGTGTATATGAATATACAGTGTGAGTTTCCATATCAGGTAAAAAGCTAAAAAGCCTTTAATCAGATGTCTGTAAATTGGATGTTTCAATATTTAAAAGCACTGCCCATATTTGTTCAGAATTACCTGATAACATAGCCATCTGATAAATGGCTCTTTAACTTTGTATCAATCAATGTTTCCTTTAAGATAGTGCCTTCATTACATTTGTTTGAACTTTTCAAGCTCAAGATCTCTTGACCTTTTTCTATTTTAAAAGAGAGAACATGTTTGGACTGAGTGTCCAATCACATTCTTAATTGATCAAAGGCAAGATTATTAAGATATGCATTAAAAAACAAACATAAACACACCTCTTGTCTTCTCCAGATGTAAATAGGGACTGAAGGCACTGAAACGACCCTGTTCTTTGTAGATACAGCAGAAGAGTTGCGCTGTATTATTTTCCTTCACAGTGAAATGAACCTCCTCAGCACCAGACTCCAGCACCTGAGAGTCCACCTTAATAGCAGAAGAGACACACAGAACGATTAAACCAAAGGAGCCAAGTGGTAGCATAAGACACACCAGAGAACATCTGCAAAAGAAATTACCTCTTTTTTGTTTCGGTACAACATAAACTTAACCCCTCTCTGACCATCTGGGGCCCGGCAGACCAGAACCACCGAGCCCTTTGACCTTGAATAGATGTCCAGAGTAGGTGACGTAAGAGGAGGAGAGGAAGTGGAAGCTGAAAGTCTTCCTAGGTGTAACATAAAGCAAGAATCAGTTGGATTTCACAAATTCCTTTGGAGGTGGAACAACAGTGAAGCAGGCATGACAAACACTGCTTCTATGATTGCTACATGTGGTCAAGCTCAATCTGTACCGGTTATTGCAATTGATGAAAAATAGAACATAAAACGCAGACATAAAAGGAGACATAGCTGTAATTTCCATATGTGGTACATTTACAACAGACCGAATTGTTTGTGTGAATCATTACATATTGAACGGCAGGTTACAATAGTTTACTTCTTCTTGCAGCATTAAAACAGTTAATAGATATTTCTAGTGTAAATCAACTTTTTTAGTTGTTAGAAAAAAACAAATAAATAACTTTGAGAAACACCTTTAGCATGATCCTTACCCAAAAGTTGTAGAAAAGTGAAAATCAGATTGTATATCCAAAGTGATTGTCCAACACTAACAGCCTGCATCTTTGACACACGAAGAAGACTGAACAGAATAAGAAAGCACCTAGAAGTGTGGGCTGCTCCCTCTCTCCTCTCTGTTTTCTAAATACGTATCACATCCTCTTGAAGACAGAATGATTGGGGGAAGTTGAAACAGTAAACACACTTCCTTTTTCGGAGTCAACTGGTGGTGTGCATGATGAGAATAAATAGCAGGCCTGTGTCTCAGTACCACACATGTGCTAATATTTCTGTGTCAGCACACTTGTGAGGACGAAGTAAATACAAAATGTCCCAAGATGCCATCAGGATGTGAAAACTGTGCTTGATTATCAGTGGTTTCAAGGTGTCAAGGCTTTTATTGTCATGTGTGCATAGCTACAGTGTAACTATGACAATTAAAATCTTAGGTCTCCTCCAACAGTGCAACACAATAAAACAGTTAAAATAGTACAAGTATAACATAAAATAGAATATAATAGAAACAGAATATAATAGAAACAGTGCAGAATAGTCTATTGTATGTAACTATGAATGAAGGATGGGTCATGACCGAAAGAACGAGATCGCGGGTACAAGCGGCCGAGATGGGTTTTCTCCGCAGGGTGGCTGGTGTCTCCCTTAGGGATAAGGTGAGAAGTTCAGTCATCCGGGAGGGACTCGGAGTTGAACCGCTCCTCCTTCGCGTCGAAAGGAGCCAGTTGAGGTGGTTCGGGCACCTAGTTAGGATGTCACCTGGGCGCATGGGCGAAGTTTGAACTTTAAGGTTGGGGGTGCCAAAAAATAACTACAAATGTAATATACATTACATTTGTAGTTATTTTTTGGCACCCCCAACCTTAAAGTTCAAACTTCGCCCATGCGCCCAGGTGACATCCTAACTAGGTGCCCGAACCACCTCAACNAGCCGTATCTGGCTGTGCAACACTCACAGTGTCACATACTGTATGCAGAAGTATTATTTTAAGCAACACATTAAGTTGACGAAACACTCGAGTCAAATGTAATTAAAGTCAGATCCACTCGTGTCTTAGACGGGGGCAGTGATATCATAAACCTGTTAATGTACGCATTCAAACACGTTTTCTTTTACCAGCTGTATTCACCTTGCAGACCTGTGCAGCTATGTGGCTTTTATCATGGACACAGTGTTTAAGTCATGGATGTTTAAAGTTTAACTTCTTCATATTTTACTAATATTAAAGTTCACTTTTCATTCAGGAAGTATGACGCTGCGCTGTCAGTACGCTTCTCCATGTTTGTGATTGGTCGAATGCTCCAAATACCACCCCTTTCATGTGAACGCGCACCAAACTAGATAGGACACGGCTGGCTTGAGCGATCCACTTGATAACCCGTGTCGTAGTACCGTTTAGCGAGAGCGCGTATGTTTTGGATTAGGCCAACCGGCTAACTCAAACATATCCAGGTTAGGTTGAACCAGCTTCGTAGTACAGGCCCCTGGTTTCACACAGACTCTCAGTCCGAATACAAATAACTAATGACGGTTAGAGGAAATAGGATGAGTTGGCAAACTTGCTTCTTTAGCCAATAAAAGGCCGTTACTGGAGATATTTACAAACGTATAATTCAACTGAAAAACCAATCCAAAAATAAATGATACATTTATATATTTACATTTAAATAAATAATATGAAAATAATAAATACAAATAAACAATATCAACAAATATTTTGGATTTTGATTTATTGCTGAAGAAAGTAACCTAGTGTTTTTTGACAGTTGTTATCAAATATATTAAAAAACGGTGAAATATTGATTTCATCAGTCAGTATGCTTCAGGGCAGTTATGCCATGTTATGGTAACGGTTTATCACATTTACAAAAGAAAAGTAACAATACTTTATGATAGGGCTGTGCAATTTATAGACACTTAATCGAAATTGCAATATTGGCTATTCAATCTTAGAATCGCATGAAGTGCAATATTTGTAAAAAAGTTACAATTTTGGTGATTCACAAAAGCCCCTGACCTTTAAATCGTCATTCTACAGATTTAAAACGAAAATCTTTAGGTACAGAATTTAGATCCTCTTAGAAATCTCATGACTATTTTGAATATATGTTTCAATGATGTTAGGAATAATGATGCAAAATGATCACTCTCCAATATAGTAAATCATATCACGACTTCAATATCAGCCAAAAATAATAGCAATTAGACTTATTTGGCTTGATGTGCACAGGTTTGTATATAATAGACTATCTTTGATTTCCATCCCAAAAATAAAGGTGAATTGAAGGTTTGAATGTAACTGTTGGTTTTATTCACCATTTCCTTAACCTAATATTCTGTATAAAATGAAGGTTTGGTCCTTATTACAGCACATACCATCCACATGGGCCTAAAGACATGAATTCATCATTAACAGGAGAATGTATTCAAAGAACAACAAATAATGATGCCAATGCTGAACGTGTTCTGCCAAGTAACAAAAGCACATTTTGATTAATTATTGTAGGACTTTGCGTCATAGAAATAGATATGTAGCCGATGCTAAATGATTTTCAAAGCTAGTGTAGAAGGGAGCAGAACACTGAGTTACAGAGTGTCAGGGTGTTCTGTAAAGCAACACAATCAGTTCTCCCTCATACAAAGTGTATTCCCTCGGGAGCTTTTTCTAACCTTTCATGGAAAGGACACCGCGGCAGAAGCCCTTGAAGTTGATCCTCCCATGGGAGTCGGGGTCCAGACATTTGGCCAAGTTTTTCACCTTTGGAGGGGTACAGAGACAACATTAGAGCTATCAGAGCACAGGAGACACATTTATGTTCACACACAGTAAACATATTTTAAAAAAGTAACACATTTTAGCTTTTGTGCTAAGTCAACACAATATGTGGGCTGTGGAAAAAAAACGGTACTGAAACTAATTTCTGTAATTGTATTGGGCTGTGTGAGTGTGTATTTGTGGGTCTGTGCAGCCCACTTCCTGATTTGTGAGATAGACAGGGGGCTAATAAGTACAAACCACTTATTAGTACCGGTACATGAATCATCCTTCCTCCCAGCATTGCCATAAGACTCAGAGATGAACAGCGCTGCCTTATTATCATATTAAGTCTATCCTTTGAAGCCATCAAATGATCTCATGCTGCCTGTACCAATCCTCTCTAAATCATCTTTGTAACAATAAATGAATAAATAAGAGTTTACTGCCTTATCATTTGAAAACAAACCACAACTAAATGTAACAGCCATAGTCACAGCAATGTGCATTGTTTATTTCACGACACAATATGTGCATTTTTTTTGCTAAACTAAATGTTTTAAAAGTAGTCATCAATTTTATTGATGATCTTGACAATTAGATTAGATTAGTTAAGTTTGTTAACAGCAGAGTTGATATGTTGGGTATGTATGGGCCTTATCCATACACTTTACTATGTTCAAAGTTAGTGGAGCTTTGTCTGAATGTGATGACTGCACCTCTGCTACACGGTTAACTTGTGTGTCACTAACCCTCGTGCACATGCTTTAGTGTTCCATAGTTTACCATACATCCTGCTCATAACTGATTTAGTATTGGCAGTTCATTTTAGTTTTCATTTCAAGAGCACACATTTAGCTGACTTTTCTACAGAGATGTATGTATGTCTTTAGATGAGTCAGCTTGAGTCATTCTAACATTGTTTCCTTTAGTGCTGTTACTTGTTGCTGCTGCTGGAGGGACCTCTTGGAGGCTGTAACAAAAGATGCTGCACCTAAGCCTGAAAGCTGAACTACAGGAAGTGGCAAAGTGGAATGTACCAAGTGTCGGTGACATCATGGGGGGCATTGTTGATTTTTTAAACCAACCTGTTACTCCTCGTGCAAGTCAATTTGGTCACACAAATTATTATCACACTACATGAAATTGCAAGATTAACCGAAGGTCATTGAAAATATTTGTCTGGGAACAGCGCAAATATACAATCATTTACATTGTCATTTGGCCAGTAGCTGTATACTTTATATAGACCAATAGAACAAAAAAAAGACTTGCTGAAAAAGCAACAGATGGACGAAACAAAATCCATAATATGTAAATAAATGTTCATCTGAACCGGGTCAAAGGCATTGGGATGGATAACTAAAGCAATCCAACACCCCTCATATGCAATATCACACATTTGTATTAGAAACATTGGCGAAAGCACAGCCAAATACATGATCCCCCCACACCTCCTTCACTGCAGAGCGCTGCTTCCCCTCAGCGCTCTGCACCACGGCTCAATAATGCATTATTCTCTTTGCAAGCTGCCCAGACACTTTACAGCACTAATTTTAGCAAAGGTTGGTCACTGAGACGGAAACTGCTACAACATTTCTCAGGGTTAAAAACCCAAACTAAGGTTGGATTAGGTCATGCCTAAACTTTGAGAGGTAGAGACAGCATTCGTCATAAGAGAATTGTGTGAAACTACACATTGAAAAATGTGTCTCATAGATCCACATTTTGTATTTATTTAAATGTTTACATTTATTCATTTGTGCAGCTCATCTCACACCCTCAAAACCATTGCCTGGCAACTGGGTAACAGTGCAGCTGACAAGCTATTTGTGGTGTTCAAAACTGTATCTTGTATTAAATGAATATCTCTAGCCTGTAAAAAAAAAAGTATAGTTTTTTAAACTGGAGGTCACAGGAGGATGTATATCAAGGTCATCTTAATGTCAGATGTGTGTACCTATAATAGTGTCTTACTTGTCTTCAGTTGTTAAGGACAAAGTGAAGGTGAGAGAAAAGAGGACAGAGGAGGAAACTGTCGCCGTGCACGTTTGCATGTGACTGCACGACTGGGAGAGCCACCTACTGCGGGAATTGCTGATATAGGACAATGACACGAGAGGGCAACACATGCAGGAGGCTGCTTTACTGTATGCCTCCAATGAAGAATTTCAAACCCAACCGAGCAAGAGAAAGGAAATTAAATAAATGTCTCGTGCAAAAATGAAAAAGGTTTTTCAGCGTCTCAAATCTGAATATTTCCTTATTTTTTACTTTTTCTTTAGTATCATATTAAACTGGATATCTTTAGGAATGACAGAACGAGACATTTTGAAGACCCAAAG